GCTTTATGAATAATCTGCACCCAAATCATTAAGCGAGAGGTCCAGGTACATGCAAGCTTTTAACAAAAATATATGCTCCTCCAGTGTTGCCTAGGAAACTGGTGATAATAGCTGTCTTTAAATAAAGAAAGTGAGTGGCCAGGAGGGGAAGGTTAGCAGAAACTAGCATTTCAATGACCAACCCTTAGCACTCTTGAATGTTGTACCATGTACAACAATATTGATTAACTCAAAAGCAAAGATTGGTATCTGTGAGTAGCAAATCCCAAAGTAACACTCAATTGATAAGGGATGAGATGTTCATATTCTCTCTGAATAGGAAGACTCAATCTCAAGACTTGAGTGTAAGACCTATCTGAACATACTAAATTGTCTATGTTGGGAGGCAGAGGCAGGCAGATCACTGTGAGTTTGAGGCCAGCTTGGTCTACAAAGCAAATTCAGAAAAGGGGAAAAAATTAAAGTGTCTATGAAATAAGTGACTCAGGCCAGCGAGATGGCTCCCTCAGTGAGTAAAAAGGCACTTGCTGCCAGGTCTGACAACCTGAGTTCAATCCCTGGGACCCACAGGATAGAAGAGAATAAACTCTCGCAATTTGTTATCTGATCTCCACATGCACACTGTCTTGTGAGTGTATATACACACACACACACACAGACACACACTCATACACATACACGCACACTAACTAATTAATTATTTAAGTAATTTTTAAAAAATCTCAGGAAGGGCAGAGGCAAAGCCATTGAATGCCATCAAACACCAGCTGGTACAAAAGGGATCTTGGTCAGTCCAAATAACTTCGAGTGTTTGATCCAGATGTTGACCAGTCAAGCCAAGATGATATGGTTAGAGCATCAAACATAAGCCCCTCCATTGCCCCATTGTCCCAACACACTCCTCTTGGGGACTCATCTTCCTGATGAGCCAGAGTGCTCCAGGACAAGGAAGAGAATCCTCCCTCATAACTCTTCTGAACATTTCAGTCACATCTGCCTGAGCAAGGCCACTTTGATGAGGATATCATAGCTCAGCTTTCACTTGGTGTGGTCATCCTTGCTTGTTTCTTCATTCAGAGGGTTCCAAGAAAGCCATGGCCTGTCTATGTCAAATTTCACTCAGTCACAAGAAAATGAGGAATAGTCACTTAAAATTATTTATTTATTTATTATTTAGCGTGTGCCACCGAGTGTGTGTAGGTCAGAAGACAACTCTCAAACGTTGGTTCTCTTCTGCCACCTTGTGGGATCCAGAGTACAAGCACCTTACCCACTGGGCCATTTCACTGGACCAACTTTCTTATACCACTCATTTATTGAACTGGGAGGTGTGAAAATGCCTTCCATGAAAACTTCAGAGCCTTGGTACCAATGATATTTCCAGTAGTATTAATTTAATTAATTCTACTCATTCTAATTCCTGCACAACACAGCAGCTTTAGGTATTACTTGACTTTTCCTATTTGTAGTGGGTGAATGCACTGGCCATCCATGTCTTCTAAATGTTCCAGTTTCTGAGGTGGCCACTATGCATTTGGACATCTGCCTCAAGCATGTTTAATAAATGTGTGTGCCCACAGGAGAGAGACTGGTATTTAAATTCACCACCTGTAAGAGAAACCCCTGGCCCTTGGCAGTGTGACCATTCTTTGCCACTTTCAGTTACTCAGTTCACCTCTACTCCTAAAACAGACAAGAGTAATAGAGAATTTAGCTTTACCTAGAAGTCTATCAAAATCAAACACACCTAATGGACCATATGCTCTTAATGCTAAACTCTGAAATCATTAGTTGTGGTCTGGTAATGAAACATCTCTCCCAAAGGCTTTTGGGTTGAAAGCTTGGTCTCCAACGCAATGTTTAGGGGTGGGGCTTTGGGGAAATCATTAAATCATAAGGGTATTGACTTAACTATGGATTAATCCATTGATAGATTTATAATTGAATGGATATTGGGAAGTGATGGGAACTGTGGCAAGTGGATCTGATCAGAGGAAGTGGACCATATTTGAAGCGTGTATCCTGTCTTGGCCTCTTCCTCTCTGTGTCTGCCTCATGTCTTCTATAGGTGAGCTACTCTGCTCTACCACATGCTGCCTAGTGCAATGCTCTAGTTTACTTTGCACACACCCAAAATCAAGGACAAAATCTTGAGGTACAAGAAGTCTTTTCACCTTGTTTATGTTGGGTATTTGATCATAGTGATATAAAATGACTAAAACACCATGCATACTTGAGAGAGAGAGAGAGAGAGAGAGAGAGAGAGAGAGAGAGAGACTCAGCGTGCAGTCCTGGCTCACCTGTAGAGCAGGCTGACTTCAAACTCATAGAGATCCACCTGCCTCTGCCTCCCAAGTGCTAGGATTAAAGGCATGTGCCACCACTCTAGGCTAGAAGCATTTTCTTAATTGCTAGTTGATATGTAGGCAGTGCCATCCTTAGGCAGGTAGGCCTGGGCTTTATAAAAAACGTAACTAGGGGCTCGAGAGATAGCTTAGAGGTTAAGAGCACTGGTTGCTTTTGCAGAGGACTGGGGACTCATTTCCCAGCACCCACATAGCAGCTAACCATCATTCTTAACTGTAGTTCCAGGGGATCCAACGTCCTCTTCTGACCTCCATGCACACTTACACACTTATAGGCAAAACACTCATACTCATAAAGTAAAAATAAAGCAAAAGGAAAGAAGGTTAGGAAGAAAGAAAAGTAAAGAAACTGAGCCAGCCAGGGGAAGCAACCAGTGAGCAGCATTTCTCCACGGTCTCTACTTCAGTTCCTGGCTTCAGGTTCCTGCCTTGGGTTTCTGCCCTGGCTTCCTCAGTGACAGACTGTTACCTAGAGTATAAGATGAAATAAACTCTTTCCTTCCCAACTCGCTTTTGGTCATGGTGTTTATCACAGCCAATTAGGACAATCAGCAACATAGATGTGGGACAGAAGCTTTCAGAAAAGAAGGGAGTAAAGGTTAGGACACCTAGCTCAGGGAAATGCGACCATCAACACCCCCCTAAGAATTTCTACTGAGTGCTTTGTGCCTGAGAGTCAACCTCCCACTGAATGACCAGGTGATGTGTGTGTGTGTATGTGTGTGTGTGTGTGTGTGTGTGTGTGTGTGTGTGTGTGTGTGTCTGAATCCTGCAACAAGGGTACATATTAGAGAGTATGAGAATTCTGTGTGCAGCAGTTATCAAGAGAGAGGGCAACCCTGTTCATGATCACGTGTCATTTTCTTTTCATGTAAGTCTCAGGAGAAAGGTAGCATTTATTTGCAAAATGAAAAGGGAATGATTCCTTGGCCTATAAATAGCATGTGCCAAAGATTCTTTTCAAATAGGAAACTTAGGTAACTTAAATGATTTGTTTGGCCAAAAATACTTTAATTGCACACTACTTAGCAGGAAGTTGTCTACTGTGAATGAGGCCCTGGGACAGTAGCCAGCACACAAACGTCAATAATCAAGGGGACTGTCTAAGCCAGGATGGACTCTTGGTTGCCAGAACATCATGATAGATATGGTCACTAAAGAGATGTTGTGAGGCAGGTCTCTGGAGGAAGGTGTGGCAAGTGTACACATAATCTACATTTAAACCTGCTCCTCTGTCAAGTCCCTGAACTGACTTTTTAGAGATTGCAAGTTCCTGATTCTTTTACACAGTCAAGTTTCTTATCATTGTTGGGTTTTCTATGTCTGTTTTGTGTCCACACTCAGAATTGGGATATTTCACACAGAAAGTCAGATTTTTTCCTCCATATTGGAAGCTAGGATATCCGGCTACAAGCAGTCATATGGAACAGCAGCAGTGGCTTCCAGTGTGTAGCGCACAGGCTCTGCACCCACCACAGACCAAACACCCTATACCCACACAAGGATGCTGTGTGCCAATAACCATGCCACCATCCTGTAAGGAATATCCATCTGAGCTAGGTAATTGTGATTCATATCTGTAATCTCAGCACTCAGGAGTCTGAGGCAAGAGGATTTTGAACTCTAGGCCAGCCTACGTTACAAGAAGAGTCTCATGTATCTCAGGCTGGCCTAGAACTCCATATGTACCCAAGGATGACCTTGAAGCTCTACCCTTCTGCTCCTACTTCCCTAGTGCTGAGATTATAGGCACGAGCCACCATGCCTGGCTTTAGGTGGTACTGAGATTTGAATCTAGGGCTTTGCCCATGCTAGATAAGCACTCTATCAAGTGAGCTATGTCTCCAGCTCCTTATGGCTCCTTTCAATGTGGAAACATGAAGAACTGACTTAGCAGTCCAAGGTTTTCTAGAAAAAGAAGGAGGTGCTTTGATAGGACAACAAACGTGCAGACAGCTGACCTGTACTTTAGAGCCCTCGTTGTACATTTCTGGTAAATACTTTTTCAGAGAAAGGAGGAGACTTGGAGAACCACACTCACCACGTAACAGAAACAAGCTGAGCCAACAGTATGAGGGAAGCAGACTGAGGTCAGCGAAAAAAGGCATGTGTGAGAAGCATGTCTGTAGAACCGAACAGCAAGATGATCCATGCATCAAGCACTGGAAGATGGATTGGAATCCACTGAACACATCGGCTCTAACCTTAACTGCTAGGAAACTCTTCGTACAGAAATGAATTTGACACCAAGACAAAAAAGGTAACTCATTGACGCCAGTCAGTCCCTCCAATAGCATATATGAAAAGCAGGATGCGTTAAGCTGAACACACCTGAAAGGCAAAATCCACAAAAAATCCCATTTGCATTGTTGCTGGGTCACCAGAGAGGCTTCCTGTGGTGGCCTAAGAGGAAAACCCCAAGTCAAGAAGAAAACAAACCCAAGTTTTGTTCACTTTCCAGTTTGGACAGATTACTCCCTGGGGTGAGACCATAACGTTTCCTAAATACCAGTATGACAGTGTGACAGGGAACATGCTAGGACCAGGTCCTGAGGGGGTCAGTGTTTACTTTCTTTCTTGTTCCTGGGCAGAAGAAAAAATGAACCATATCTTTTTCTATAAACATCCTCAATATCAAAGTAGAGTAATAGATTTATTTAATTAAAATAGATTAAAAACAGACTGTGTAAAAGAATTAGAATTCTCAATAATTTACTGTTATTTACACTGGCATGTGCTGGTCATTAGTAGACACTAGGAGGGCAAGCTTGTAAGACCCAGACCTTCCTGTGGGCCAAGCTGCAAGCTTCCTTTCTTCTCATCCCTTCCTTTCTGATTTATTATGGCAATTATGTCAGTGAGTGCACCCAGGGGAGCTTCAGACGCCCTGGGCGGTGGTGACAGCATCACAGCCCTGCTACTGCTGACAGGTGCTGGCAGACAGGAAGGGCTTCGTTTTAGCTTGATGCTCAAGTTCATGTGCACATGAGATTGAGAACAATTTCTCCTCCCTGCAGCCAACACTCTCCATCCACGCTAGACCTTCTGTAAACACTCCTTTGGGTTAACTGAAAACCTAGTTTCTAGGGAGATGAAAAGTAAAAATGAAAGCCATACATCCTGTTTCCCTGGGAAGTCCTAAGTCTCTTAACGTCCTTGTGTGGTCCAGAGCTTGGTGACTTATCACAACCCCACCTTGAAATGCTTTGTGCCTTTGATGCATGACGGAAATGTGGGGAGTCAGGGCCATGTGACCAAGAGGAATGCTCTCCCCAAGGAAGGCAGTGAGAGTGAGAGGTGTGGCTTGCAGGCACCAAGCAGGGGCAGTGAGACCCAGGAGAAGAGGCAAGCGAGTGCAGGCAGAAGGCCCCTTTGAACCGCAGGTCATTCTGTTGCTGGAGACCTGGATCCGCCTGTGGACACCAGGAGTTGCTTGAGGACATCCAGGCCCTGCAGAGGTGGAGCCTCAGGCCCCTGGGAGGCCCAGGCCGAGCAGCAGCTTTGGCCCTTGGAGGTCACATAGTAGACAACATGAGGACATGTGATCAAGGGCCAAGGTGAGGGAGGCCTGATGGAGAGGCTCAGTCCAAAATGTCTGTCTCAAATGGAACCAGGTGGTAATACGACAAGTTGGTAACATAAGCCTCTGGGTCATCAGCATCCTCCATCTCTGAGGTGAACTCGCCGCCATTTTCAAACCTGAAAAGAGACACCAGAGATGAAGGCTATCCTCATGAGATCCCAGCTAGGGGGAAGAGAGGGTAGGAGGTAGGCAGTGGGACAGTGCTGAGGGATCCAGGCTCTGTGGGAATGGAATGAAGGACATCCACAATGTGAGGTCCTACCCAGGCATGCTGCAGACACGTTTACACAATGGGAAGACACGCGGTTACACACTGATTAACTGGATGAAATGAATGGTGCTGTACAGACTGGCAGGGCTTCTGGGCTTTACAGCCTTTGCAACTGCTATCTGTCTGTTTTAGCAGAATGTTTATCTGGCTCTCCTGTTCAGTGCCAGACTCTGTGTCAGTTCAGAGAGCAGCAGTTGACAATCAGGTGACTTGTCCTCAGGGAGTAGGATCCTGGAAGGACATCAGGCAGGGACACTGCAGGAGGCTCCCTATGGTCATGGAGGTAGGCTCTTCCTGGTGGCCAGGCCTGATTCTGTCCAGACTGATCCAGGTCCTGGATGACAAGGACTGGGTGGATGTGGGAAGCTTATGTGGGTGAGGACAGCTGGAGAAAGAACAGGTGCCCCAAAGGAAAAATCACAGACGTGTCCTCCTGGTTGTTTCCCTGAGTCTGGCCCACACTTAAACTTGGAAACTTGATCCCCAGTGAAACAGCATTGTTGCGGGGTGGGGGTGGGGTGGCTTTAAGAGGAGACTAGGCTGAGAACCCTGCCCTAGAGAGATGGGTTGTGGGAGAGAGTCCATTAGAAATGCAAGTTCAGCCTCTGTCCCTTTTTCCGTCAGACTTTTTCTGTGACTGTTCATTTCTGCTGCTCCTTTCTCTCATTTCTGTCTGTCTGTCTCTCTCATCTCCCACCATGCAGCAAGAAAGCCCTCACCAGATGCCAGCTCCTTGATAATGAATTCTGCCAGACTCCAGAACTATGAGAAAGTAATAGAAATGGCTCAGTTTGTGGTTTTGCGACAGCAAAACCCTCCAGGAAGGGAGACACTTAATCATTCCTATATTCCTAACCTGAAACCAATGCCTGTATGACAGGAGGAGGAAGAGGAGGGCAGGAAGGGGCCTTCACAGTCACTGAACCCTATGTCCCTCAGATGGTTCTGGGCACTTAAGAATGCCACCAATCAGCAAGCAGTTGTGGAAATTTGAATCCCCCTACAAACCTTAGAGTGACCCAAAGTCCCCAAATGGACCATACTGCACAGTCACAAGCCTCTGACATGGACAGACTGGAGTATACTATGTGGAATCCCGCTGACCTCAAACAGTGGGGCTCTCTGGCAGTTTCCTCTAGTCAAAGCTGCAAATTACATAGCCTTATGCTGAAAAAATAGGAGATGACAGCTTTCAGTCTAGCCATCTGACTAGAAAAGCCTGCAGAGATGGGTTTCCTTTGCTTCCACAGTGTGGTGTAGGGTGTGGAGGTGATTTGGAGGCTGTCTGTACCTAGCTGGGGAAGGACACTGTCCAGCTCCTTCCTTAACTCCTTCCTATGGCTCTTCCCTGGGGTTCCTCCCTATGACTCCTCCCCATGGCTCCTCTTCAGGGCTTTCTACCCTGGCTTTCAAGGTGTTTCATAAAGAGCTCTTAACTGCACTCAAAGCAAGTGTGCACACAGCACTCTCTGAGAGCTTCCCACCACCTGCTCTGCCTTTGCTACCTCACCTCAGACAGCAGGATGTCCTGAAGACAGGAGGAAAGAGGAGAGAGCTGGAGGGAACTGCCAAATGCCTCAGGACCAGTACTGCCAGGACTCCTGCTGCCCATGCTGCTCCCTAAGTGTTCACTCACTTAAACCCACTTTCCCCCTCGGCCACATTTGAGCACCATTGTATGGTAGCCTCTACTCACAGCCTGGGGCCACATAATAAGCCTCAAGTACCATGTGCCTTCTTGTCTCTGAGTGTTCAACAGACTTCTCCTGAAAGATGGTGGTGGCCTGTTCTGAGCACTTGTGGCCACTCTGTCCTAGGTTCAGCAACAAGGGAGATAACCTCCCCACAAACTGAGCCAGGGACTCCCTCTGAATGCTGCTCCTACCCATGTCAGTCTTCCTGGGACCAAAGCTCTTTCCCTTTGCTTTCTCTCCCTGACAGGTATCCCAGAGCAGACAGCCATGTCTGCAAGATTTGGTGCTTCTGAGAATGACCTAGCGAGCCACATGGGGGAGGGGCACCCCATGGTGCCCTGGGCAAGGCATGCCTAGGGGCCAGGAAGCGAGAGGGTACTCTACTAGCAGAACTGTTCATGCCAGATTCTCATGCCAGCATCTAATGTCATGTACCCTGTAAAGGATCGCCTTACCAGCTATTTAAGAAACACCCTGAGAACTGGGAAGGAGGGGGTTGCTGACTGGGTTAGTCCCATGTCCCTGACAGGGATCCCTGAAGGCTTATCACAGAACAAGGGTGCCATATAAAAGGCTCGGGCTCATCCTGGCTATATCTACCATCTCCTGCATTGATTGGCATGGTGTGTGACTCAGCATAGGTGCTCAGCTCATCCTAGCTTTCATCCACCTCTGCTGAAGGTACCAAGCAGATAGGACTGAGCCACCACCTTCCAGAATCCACACCACCCCACTGCTATGCTGCTCGAGGACCCCGAGGGAGACACTGCGGCCAGCATCGCCTCTCAGGTATTCCTAAGTCAGGCAGTATACACTGGTCCTCTGCAGTGTTTGGAGGTCCACTCACAATGAAGCAGAATAGCCACTCTAGCCACAGCGAAAGCAAGGAGAGGGGAAAGAACTTCCTGAGCTCACACAACCGAGAAGCCTGGACTTGGACAGTTAAGAGAATCCCCACCCTGTCTGGGGCTCTGCTGCCTGCTAATTCACCAAGAAGCTGACAGGCAGGAGCCAAGCATGAAGGCAACTATGCTTATTGGTGTCCAGGTGCTGGGCTCTCTACAGCACATTCTGGTCAGAAGTTCTATTGCCAGAGGGAGGCAAAACACAGGGAACAGTTGTCTTTGATTGTCCAGCCCTCAGTGATCAAAGCTTCTTTCTAGAAAACTGTCTCGTGGGTCAGGCTCCACCATGAACTGCTGACCACCTGCAAGGTTGCTGTATGTGTCACACTCCTGCATCTGGGGAGCGTGGAGGTCTATGACTCAGCCCTGGGTTCCAGACCTGAAGATAGTGCCACATAGCTATCAGACCTTGGAGTTTTAACTTCTCCTAAATGTCCCTCACATCTAGTGACTAGATGACCAGACCACCCTCCAGGTCAATGAATCTCACCAGACTATGAGGCAGGCTTTAAAAAGGAAAACCCCAAATTGGCAGAGTCTGCTACTGGGTACCTCTGCTGACACCCATTCCTTCTATTGAGCCCATGCACAAGCTACCAGTTTTGGACTCTATCTATGAAACCATGTCAAAACCAGTATGTACTCACAGATGCTCTGTGGAATCTACATCCAGGTGCTGGTCCTTCCCATTGGGTAGGCTGTGGTCAATAACTATTGTTTCTGTGTTTGCCAAACAAAATCCATTGGACCTCATGATTTCTGAAAAGCAAAGCAATGAGGTAAGTATTCAGGAGGGGCCAGGGTGTGAGGATTAAAACTTAGGGGTTTACCATAGACCAGCACCACTTAGGAAGAGAAAGCTTCTGTTTGCAATGGCAGTGGTTAATGCAGAGACTCATGATTGGTCAGAATGCAGAGACTAAGTGACTGTTGAATGCTCAGCACTAAATGGAACATCTGTCTCACCTCTTCCAAGGCTCAAGGAACATAATGAAAGACAGGCAGAAAGAATGTAAGAGCTGGAGGATGGGGAGAAGTGCTGTGAAAATGCTGTCTTCAGGACATGACATGGCTGTTGCACCCAAGAATTCACAACAGCAGTGGCTACCTTCCCAAGACTGGGCCCCTCCGCATTCCAGCATGGATGGAAGAGGAGCTCGTCAGGCCCCGCCCCTCCTGAGGAGCTACAGGCAGGTAACGGTTACTCCGGGAGGGAAGTCATATTTCCCACTGATGTAGACACTGGCAAGTTGTCCTTGTTCAAGTAAACTGCCTCCAACCCATGCTCATGCAAATAACCATAATTAAATTAAATGGGGCATATACAAAAAGACAGGAAAGTGGGAAAGGAGACTTATCGAGAAACAAAGGGGGGTTTGGTGGGAGGAAGAAGGAGGTAAGAGAGGACAGTGGGCAGGAGGAATATAATCAAAGTACAATGTGTGTGTGTGTGTGTGTGTGTGTGTGTACACAATTGTGAAATAAATTTTTAAAAGAACCTTTGGGTTTGTACCAACTTTCCCCACTTTCCCCATCTATCATCTGTTGTCCCCCATTCTCTCTCACACTGCACAGAGAACCACTCCAGTGCTCTGCTAGGCAGACTAAGGGGCTGACACCAGTACCAATAGGAGCAGGTGTGTCACTTCCTGAAGGAAGATGTTCTGGCTATCTGAGCAACTCCCCAATGTACCCTTCCCCATGGGTTTAAAACAGAAGATAAAGGATTAGATAGAGGATAGGGTTCATGTCTGTAAAGCTAAGTTTAAGGCAGATCCATTACAGTGCAACATGTGGCATCACACAGGGTCCCTGTTCTTTCTGAGCCCTGTCCTATGGCTGAGAAAAGGCTGACAACATCCACACCCTGGGTTGTCCTAAGTATCACTAACATCAGGGTGCATATTAAATCCAATGAATGTCCTGCTGACTTCGCTTTATATAAATGTGTATATACATTGATTTTTTTCCCAATAAGCACAGATGTGGGTACTTTAGAAAGTCAACAACCAAAAGTGGTTTGCTATATCTTGTTATTAGGTTGGAAGTGCTCAACATGGCTGGAAGAACTGAAGTGGAGAATGTATGGCCAGCACTGAGCTGGGGGCCTGGACACAGTTCCACGGCCTTGGGACTCATTGCCTCCATGGAAAACCTTTGTATTTGAGAATCTCCAAGGAGATTCCATGAGGTGCTGGACTCCATCATGACAAGTAGGCATCCATTTAATTACAGATACCCCTCTGAACATAAAAACCTATGATCAGGGCTGGAGAAATAGCTTGATGGTTGAGAGCACTGGCTGCTCTTACAGAGGACCCAGGTTTGAATCCCAGCACCTACATGGTGGCAAACAATCATCCATAACTCCAGTTCCAGGGGATCTGACTCCCTCTTCTGACCACTGTAGGCTTGTACCACATTGGTGCACTTACATAACATGTAAGTGATATACTCATACATATAAAATAAAAATAAGTAAATAAAAAATTTTAAAAACCCATGATGTTCAAAACCCTTATGTAAAGTAGGGCAGTGTTTCTATTACACCCATTCTCCCTCTAGACTTTTAATCATCTTTGGATCACTTATTATACCAGATACGATGTAAAATGCCATGTAAATAGCTGCTACGATAACAAAGAGGGAGAGGCTATAAAGGCCCAGTAGACATATTTTTTCCCAATACTTCTGGCCTGTGCTTAGTTGAATCCTTAGATTATGAACTCACAGATACAGAGAGCTGACGGTGTGAGAAGTATGACTTGGCTTTCATTTCTATCTGCTATACCTTTGATATTTCAGAAGGGACTGGGTTTCTGTCCTTCCCTTCAGCAGATGGGCAGGCCTGGTGTCTTCTTGGCCCTGGAGCCTTGCCTTCCCTATGAGTCTGGCTCTTTGCTTTGGCTCTCGGGCAGCTGAGCTCCTAGCTCAGGGCCACCTCTGTTTGTCCTCTCAACCTGAGTTCTCAACCTAAAAGACAGATGTAATATGCACCCAGGTTCTGGGTACATTCAGTCTGTCTGATTGCCTTCCTCATACTAGGGACAGTTCTCTTTCTCTCACCCTTTCTCTCTTCTTGGCCCACAGAGTACAGGAAGAGTATCTTTCACTGCCCACGAGGCTACTGGGCATCAGATGCCTTTGTTTCTAGAAGATTATCTTAAGTCTCCTCCCTACCTTACCACAATTTAGATTAATTTATTATCCCCAAGTATAGGTTTGCTTTTTCATGACTGAAATGATCACTTTCTGATTATTTTTAACTAGACAGTTGGTTCTCCATTCTTTAAACTTCTCTCCATTTGCATAGAATCGGAACTACAAAGAAAAATAGGTTTCCTCTTGACCCCCATGGGTGCGAAGCAACTACTCATCAATTAGATTTGCCAAGTACTTGCTGAAATTATGCCTGGCTTCCTGCAGAAAGGGCCATTATGTGTCATGGGTCTCTTGCACACCATCCCAGTCACTCACATCCGTGGGACAGCAAGTCGTGGCTCTTCCCTTCCTTCCTCCCAGCTCCATCTGTGGGATGCAACAGTGAAATGGAGCTCCACAAGCCATTAAGGAGTGGGTCTGGGAACTCAAATCAGCTGCATTTCTAAGTGTACAAGGGGCAAAGGGAGATGCTTATCAAAGCCTGGCTGAGCTGGCAGACTGGAAAGAACCGAGCACAAGTTCCAGTTCCCCTCACTTCCCCGTTCTAAGGGTGGCAGCAGACAGCTACTCTTTATTGTGCTTATTAACTCTGACCCAAATCTGTCTGCCTGAGGAAGTATAGGAAAACTGGATACAGCCTCCACACAGCCAGCCGGCAGCCCTTGTCCCCTTCTCCCACCCCTTTGCCGAGGGAATCTGGAACGAGGAGACCCTGAGAGTTCAAACAGATGTCACTGGTGCACATCACTTCTGAAAAAAACTTCAGAAGCTACCCGGCATAACTAATCTTTCCTAAATATGAGCTGCAGAGCCTAGAAGGTGGAATCTTTACCAACCCTTCCCAAACAGACATGGAGCTAGTCATTTCCCAGTTGTTTAAGACAAAAAACCTTTGTGAACATGAATAAGATCTAAATGTTCCCCAGGCCAGCTGAGCCCCAAGGACACCCCTGTCTCCACTCTGTGGGATGCAGCAACGGAATGAGGCTGCACAAACCACTAAGGAGTGGGTCTGGGAACTCAGATGAACTACATTTCTGTGTGTACAAAGGACAAAGGGAAGATGCTTAGCAAACACTGGCTGAGCTGGCAGACTGAAAATCATTGAAACCAACACAAGTTCTGATTCCCTCACCTCTTCACTAAGGTATATCGGTACGTCCATGCCTCAAAGTTGCAGGCCTCAGAGGGGTCTAACTTAAATTGCTGGTGTTTCACAAAAGATGGTTCCTGGGGAAGCTGTTTTCCTCCTGGATCCTGCCCCCACCCCACTACCACTTTCTGGGAGCCCTCAGACCTTGAATAAACCCCAGAGCAAACCAGGCTACGCAGCTGGGAGATTGTATAAACCTCAGAGCATCCATTCCAAACTGGCTTGGAGAGGGATTGCTGACTGAAAAGCACTTATTAATACAAAAGTGAGCACCAGAGCTGACTCCAAACACAAAACTCTCATATGTCTATGCTAGCTGAAAACAGGACAAAGATTCTACGACAGCTTATTTTTTTATTTATTCCATTCAGTTAAAAAGAAAGTCTTCAGAAGAGCTATCGTTTAAAGTTCTAAAAATAGTTCTCTGAAGTTTAAAAAGAGAAGAGAGCCTTTAGCTGTAGTCTATCTCTAACTGCAGGGACCACGGGTTTAAATGGTCACTTTGCTAACACTCTGCAACGGTGTCCTTTTTCCTCCATCTAGACACCGGACAGCAAATGCTTGAATGAGTGTTGCCCACTGGACCAGTCTTCACAGGAGGGTGGTGTTGTGGTCTTAATGTGAAGTGTCCCTCATAGGCTCCTGTGTTTGAACACTTGGTCCCCAGTTGGTCATGCTGTTTAGAAGACTGTGAAACCTTTAAGAGGGGGAGACTTGCTAGAGTGAGTCACTAGGGGAGAGCCTTGAAGTATTGTAGCCTGGCCCCACTTCCTGTCCTCTCTCTGCTTCCTGACTGCAGACACAATGTGACTGACCAGCTGCCTCACATTCCCCCAAGCCATGTCTTCCTCACCATGATGGATTATATCCCTTCTAAACTATAAGTCAAAATAACATCTTTCCACCTTAAGTGATTTCTTATCAGAGAAATTTGGTCAGAGAAGTGAGAAAAGTAACATGTGGTATGGGCCAAGGACCTGTGCCTTCAAGGACAAGGTCCTGGTGAGGTTCACATTAGGGGACAACAGAAAGACTAGCTGGAACACACTCTTCTGGCAATCTGTAGCATTAGCAAGTACAGACGCTGAACCTGCATAGAGCTGTTCCCACCCTGGTCCTGCTACCTATGCCTGGGGAGCAGGTTACTTCTTGCTTGATGCCTGCTCTGTAGGGAGCAGCCGTAGATTAAATGAGATGGTATATGTGGAGACTCTAATACTGGGGACTCAAATAATACTAATTATTACCATCACTTTTGGTCTTTTTTCCCCCATCTGTTGCAGCACAAGAATAAAAAAGAAAAAAAAAAAACCTGAAGAAAATGCTGATTAAAGAAAAATGACAGTACCTGTGACCTATTTTCAAACAAATTTAAAATGGGAGTTTCTTGCACATCTGTTTAGTACCCATAGCAAAAATCACTGCCTAATTTAATTTCTTTAAC